TTGAATCATCTGTAGGAGGAGCATCAGTCAAATGAGTATCTTTGGCAATACTCCGGAGATAAAGTCGAACGGTCTTGCTCCAATCCAATTAATTCAAGCCATTTAGCTTATGGTCACCATATCCGACAAAACTATGGATTTCTTCTCAGCCATAGCTTCCAAACAGAGATACAAGGCAGCAAACCCAAAGGCAAAACCAAGAATCTCAATAAGGCAACAAGAACAAACCTTGACAAGCACAAATCAGCAAAGCCCAGAAGCCGACTGAAACAAACCAAACCCAGAACCACCAGAAAAGCAGAGGGAAGCAACTGGAGAAGACTGCCAGCCAGACGAAGAATTCGGGAGCAGTCGTGGACAAATGCAGGCGGAGGGGAGCTGTCACGGACAGGGGCAGGCGACGGGGAGTTGTCGCGGATGGATTCGGACGCCGGGGAACAACGCGGACGAACTTCGGACGCCGGGGAAACGCTGGTCGGCGGTTGGGTTTCGGGTTGGGCAGGCAGCAAGAACACAAAAATTACTCCAAATAGGTTTATCAAAAATGGAACACGAAACCTTAATTTGTGTTTAAAAAATTTGCAACCCTAATTCTCTGATACCATGTTGATTGATATGGGAAAAGATTATATTTTCATTAGGAAAAGAATACATACATATATATATATATATATATATATACATACATATATACAAAAGCTAGGAAACTATCTTAGGAAACTATGTAAATTAGGAACCTAGAATTAAGGTAATTAGATACACCTAATTACATCCTGTAACAAAATGTATGTGTTACAAACATCTTTGGACTAGCAGAAATTGGTTTACAAAGATGTGTGATGCAAGATCATTATGTTTAGCGTTGAAGACTAAGTTCAAATAAATAAATGTGCCCTCTCTAACCGATTAAGCTTTTGGATGAGGTGTTTACTGTGGTTTTCGAGACAAAAACTTGGTGCTCAAGTCTTGCCTCACCAATTTGTGAAAATTGCGTTTTGAAGACTAAATCTGAACAAGTAAATGTGTCACTTCTTTAACAGTTTAAGCATTTAGAAGATGTGGTGCAACAATGAGCAGAAAGGCATAATCTGGATAAATCACTTTTTGTGCTCTCCAAGGTTCATAATATCTAGATTAAGAGGAATGTAACTGCTGGAAAGTTTTGAAATCAGTACGTAATTGGTTTCTAAGACTTATGGTTTTATCCTTGTCTATCACACCTGTCTGGACCCCCATTGATCTTATGGATTTGAATTCTAGTCAGCATGCTAATTTTTTTCCCGAATTCTCCCGAAACAATGTTTTCTGTCAAGTGTGCTGTTTGCGAGCTCATTTTTCTCCTTATCTCCTGTCTCATTCATTCTGCTTGCTTCCTATAACCCCTCTCTCTCTCTCTCTCTGTCTCTCTCTCCCTCCCTCCCTCCCTCCCCCCTCACTGAGACATTGGCCCAATATTCCCCAACAAGTTCATTCTTGTTATCAATTTAATTATTTTGAGCTATTCTATTTGAGATGTTTAAATGACTTCTTATTTTTCATGAATGTCGGTGTACCAAATTTGTTCTATGTAGTAAGTTTGTTCTGCTGTTTGTTGCTTCTTTCGACCTACTAATTTATATAGTCAATTGTTTTTTAAATCAATATTTGATTACATATTTAAAAAAAAAAATCAGAAATCATATTTTGCGTATAAAAAATTGGTACTAGATGAAGTTTGTGTGTATATGTGCATGTTAAATACTTGTCAATTGCAGGAGAACTATATCAATTATAGGCCAAGTTCAGCTGGGAAAGATGACAACGGAATGAAAAGGATGAGCTTGCTTGCCCGTGCTGCAGAGTCTATTGGGGATGGTGATATTATCAACGTCCAGATTAGAAGATATCGACAGTGGCAACTCTCTCAAATTGGCTCTCTTGCATCTTCTATAGTTCCGTAAGTTCTCTTGACTTAGTTCTAAAAACTGGTTAGCTTTATTTTTGATTGATTTCGCAATCATTTCTTTTGTGACAGCGCGGCTCTATTACGTGGGCAACGGGGAATACTTGAACAGGTGATAGTTGTATTTCATTGTTGTTTCAATGGGTACTCTAATATGACTTGGTTTGTCTACTCTTTTGGACTTTACTATTTCTACTTGACGTAGTCTATTATGCATCATGACAACTTTGCTTCAACTCAAATTGAAGATTTATCCCATAATTATTTGGTGTCAGCGTCAGGGATAATTATTTATGTGAAGACTTACATCAGATAGCAAATTTTAGGGCCTAAAGATCTTTCTTGTGTTATATTACTATGCCCCTGTTTGAGCCCCATCTTTAAAATTTCATTTTTCTCTAAACTCATTTTCAACCAAAAATTCTCCCAATAAAATAATTTCACACATAAACCAAAATTTTCATTACTTTTTAACCACACATTCTCCAAAATATCATATTACAAAATCTATTCTCAGTGGGGCTCAAACAAACTTTATATATTAGCTCTCGTTTGGCAAAATTTATAAATCATTTATAATGGGTCAAACTTTATTTTCAACCACACATTCTAATGGACCCTCAAGTACTATCCACCACTAATTTCTATTTGTTTATAAATTCATCCTAGATGAAGGCTTAACTAACAACTGAAGGCATGCTTTACTGACAACTTCTTTGAATGCATTCATGATCCTAGATCATTAATAAGCTGCCATAACTTCTAGTTCATATACATTAGATCATTCTTCTTAGAAGCGCACTTATTTCTGTTTTGATTACAACTTTTTTACTTCAACTGTATGTGATCTTGGAGGAAAAAAAACTACTACTAAAGAAATAAGAATGTCTTGCAAAGAAATAAGAATGTCTCCTTTGTGTGTATTTCACAGAAAAATGAATTTACTTGAAAATGGAACATATGATACCTATTTATATGGACTATCATGCTTTGAGAGATCTAATTCAATTGAGCTTTGAATTTTAAAAGTGATAAAATCTTATGACAAAACCATATTTTGGTTAATGAGATATGATAATGAATTTAAAATAACAAAAAAAAA